AACACAGGTGGTACTCAATGAATAGGTGCCAGCCGACCAGCTTCATGGTGAAATATGAAAAACAAGATCCTTAGAATAATTTTTTGGAACTTTCCTCAACATATAGGACTTTAAAAATATGGCCTTTTTGATGTTAAAAAGTCCTTTTCCGAAATTATGATAGTCATTGTTTAAATGTTTTGCCCTCTCATGAAAAAGTAATAATATTTGGCAGTACTCGTTCAGTCCACAAATGATCTCTGACACTTGACAAGCCCCTGAAAACAAAGGAATTGCCAAGATCCTTTTAGTTCTAAGTTCTGGGAGGTGGAGTCATTGCCAAAGCCCATCTCGGAAGAGACACTTGGGTCCTCACCCCTAAGGCTGCACTGGTAGCTGTGATGGGCTCCTCTTCTTGCCCTCCTCCAGATGCCCAGTTCTTACCACACAGGACTTCCTCCTCCGCACCAGACTCTACCCATCCATCCACCATCCATCCATCATCTCTCCACCTATCCATTCACCTATCTACCCACTCACCCACCCATGTATTCTCTATGTACCATCTACTAGCCATCTGTCCATCTATCCATCCATTCATCCATTCATTCATCCATCCATCCACCCATCCACCGTCCCATCTATCCCAAAGCTCCTGTTGCCAAGCCTACTTCTCATATTGCCTTATCCCCCCTGCTCTCTTCCTCATGAACTGTAAGCTCCCAAAGGCAAATGACAGCCCAAAGCAGAGAACCTGACTTGCAGCAGCAGAGCCTACTACTAATGGCATGGAAGGATTCCTCTGGTTCACCCTCCTCTTCCCCAGTACAAAGATTCTCTCATAGGACCATCGGCCAGTCATTCAGCTTCTGCTTAATTATCACTTGGATAGGCAGCTCTTTCAACTTTTGGAAGCCTGGGCTGTTAGAGACTTCATCACGTGGAGCAGCAATCCACTTTCATATTTCTTACCTTGGCTTTTGAGAATGGAACCTTGCATCTTATTTATCTCATATTCCTAGTTCTGAATTTAATGCATGTCTCATTATAGACTCGCAGATACTAGATGGATGAAAGGATTGATGGATAGACAGAAGATGGATAGATGGTGGATGGATGGTAGATGGATGGATGGATGGATGGATGGATGGATGGGAGATGGATGGAAGGAAGGATAAATCATTGGTATTTTGCATGAACTCAGTAAATAATTGCTAATGAGACAACATTAAGTTGGGAAGATGGTTTCCTGGTGGAAGATGCTTGTCTTACAGAGCAGCTTTGTCTGATCGCAGTGTGGGACTGAGTCTTGGGCCTGAAGGGAGCAGGCCTGATGTAGCTCAAGAAATTATCCAGGCTCTTCCCCAGAGACAGGGCAAACTGGAAGTATTGGTCCTTAAGCAGCTCCTCCCACAACAGCCTGTGTCTCCTCCTTTTCTCTTAACCTTGCACAGCCCACTGGGAAAAAGGCACTTTGCTGGTGAAGGAGGTGCCTTCCCAGGGCAGGATGGCTCCCCATCCCTTCCTCAGGAGCCGCTATGTTGTGTAAACAGAAGCAGGAAAGTCTGCAGAAGCTGCTGCCCAAGGATAACAACTTGGCTGCGACTGTGGCAGCCAATGAGCTCCAGACCCTTGTCACCCATGACCTCAGGGAAGCTTGCACCCCTCCTCTGTAAACGGAGGCCATTCTGGCCACGGGTCATAGCCTTTGTGTTCAGATCCCTGTGGAAATCTGATCAAGGCAATGGGTCCTCGAGTCAGAAATCAGCACAAGTTTTCAGACATGCGCTGTCATTCCTGCTTACGGTTTCAGGAGGGTCATGAACCCCCACAAGCCTCCCTATTGCTCCTGGGTTAAAGTCACATGGGCATTCTAGGATCTTCTGTCTGCATGGCCTCGGTGCATTTTAACTTTTTTTATGGAGATAAGTGTCGACTTATAGAAACATTGCAAGAGTGAGTCCAAATTCACTCCCAGGCCTCTCTCAGGGCTGACCTAGCACAAACCAGGTGCGTCCATCAAAATTAAGTTATATCACCATTAACTAAGCTTCAGATTTTTACCAGGTTTCACCCATTTTTTTCCACCAATGTTCCTTTTTTGTCCAAGATCTTATGCTGGCCCTTGTCCTTTGTGCCCTCGAGACTGGAAGGAGCCTGCTCAGGCCTCTGGGTCTCCTGGTAATTAGAAAAAGGTGATACATCCTTGGCAGGAATGCCTTGAAAGCAGCCCTGGCCATTTTTGCTCAGTGCTTAGAGCATCTGCCTGTGGACCGAAAGGTCTCATGTTCAATTCCAGGCAAGGGCATGTACCTTAGTTTCAGGTTCCCCAGCCCCAGTGGGGGCGCATGCAGGATGCAGCCAATCAATGTGCCTCTCTCACATGGATGTTTCTCTCCCCCACCTCCCTCCCTTCCTCTCTTTCTAGAAATCAATGGAAAAAATGTCCTCAGGTAAAAAAAAAAAAAAAAAAAAAAAAAAAAAAAAAAAAAAAAAAGAATGCCTTGAGAGCAATGGGATGTCCTCAGAGCACTGTCTGGGGAGTTGCATGGTGCAGGAACCATTTGTGATCTGTCCCATTGCTATGGCAACCTCAGTCCCTCTGGTGAGAGGGGCCTACCCAGCTCCTCCAGTGCAGCCTCAGTCTTTCTTGGTGCCAGGTCAGTATTGCGGGGAACTGCTCAGGCCTATCTTGACCTTTAAAATGGACTTCCTTTGCCAAAACAAACCATAGCACCTTTTTCTGAAACATAAGGCAGAGGCTTCTTTTCTCCGTTGGTGAAGTGAAGGCTGCTCCATGGATGGCATCCTCGGCTGGCAGGCTTTTGTCAGGGGAGAGGTCTTCTCATCTGGCAGAAGGGGAAATTGAGGCCACGGTGGGGGCGGGGGGAGCGTGTGCAGGATTGCACAGCTAGCTGGTGACAGAGCTGGGCAAAAATGAGTTCTTTTTCGTCCAAGCTCAAGGGGAAGCTCCCCAACCCTCCACCCACCCCACACGCCCTTTCCCTCAAGTGTGTCTGGAGGCCCTGGCTGCTTGCCCAAGGTTAATAAGCAGGGATCTCCAAGCTTCTGTTGAGAGCTGTGGGGCAAGGCCTTTGCTCTCCCTTGTCTTCAGAGGAGAGAGGGGCTAGCATGGAGGGAGGAGGCAGAGGCAGAGCAGGGTCCTCCTGTAGGAACCTGCCCTGAGCTCCCTGGGCTGAAAGGCCATTCTGCTGGGGTTGCAGGAGGGTATTCAGACCTTGGCAGCCAGGCCTTCATCCAGCTGAGAGTGAGAGGGTGCAGTGGAGAAAGGCACCAAGCTGTGTGTGGAGGGGCCCAGGGTGTCCAAGCCATACTGGTTCTGCCTTGTGCCCTGAGCTGCCCTGGGAGGGGTGGCCAGGAAAGCTGGCCCCCTAGGGGTCCACAAGCCATCCTAACTACAGCCCCGAACCCAGGCTATACCGGTGGGAGAGGAGCCATCTGGCTGAGTCCAGGAGAAGAGAGAAAAAGAAGAGCTGAGAGCGAGGGCCTGAGAAGGGGGAAGGAGACAGCCTGAGTTCTTGAGAATACAAACTAAGGTGGGAGCTCTGCTGAGTGCAGAGACAGGAGGGGAAGGGGCTGTTCAGCACCCTGGCCCTTATTCACTCAGATGCCTTCGGCCAGCAAGGGGCTGCTGCAGGCCTGCCTGAGAACTGATTCATCGGATTATGTAAGGACAACAGGGAGGGGGCTTCGTGAGTCTTGGGGAGGTAGCTGCCTGGCTGGTATTTGAGAAAAGGGAAGATGAGGGGAGCTACCCTGGATCTGTTCAAGGGCAAGCTGAGTGGAGAGGGTCAGAGAGTCAGACACACAGAGTAAGCCTGCCTAGAAGGGCTCAGATCAGGCTAGACCCCCTGCCTTCTCCTCAGACCAGGTCCTCACTCCTCAGGAACCATTTGTGTGATCGCCTGATTGGGAACAAAAGGTGAACAGGACACAGTCCTTGCCTCAGGGAGCTTCCAGAACAAGCGGGTAAAGGAGGGAGCTCCCATGGGGCCTAGGAGTCTGAGGGGCCAAAAACAGATCATGCCCAGACCTCATGGCCACAGGGTCCTGTCCTGTGCCCCAAAGAGTGAGGGATGGGACCAGGCAGATGCTGCATGAGCATTAGAACATCTGGAAAAACCTGAGGGAAGGGCAGTGGCTGGAGGTCAGGTAGTGGCTGACAGAACCGGGAGGACAGCACAGGGGCAGGAGTCAAGCAAGGACACAATGTCAAGAACTCAGAAGAGGCCAGGCAGAGCCAGATGGCCATTGGACAATGCACTGTGCCAGTGACCTGTGTATGTGTGTGTGCATGTGTGTACATGTGTATATGTGTGTATGGGAGTGTGTGAGAGAGCCTATGGGTGGGTCTCTGTGTGTATGTGTATATGTATATGTATATGTATATGTATATGTATATGTATATGTATGCAAGCATGTTTGTGTGTCCATGTACCTATGTGTCTGTCTCTGTGTGCATGGGTGTCTATGTGTAAGAGTATCTGCAGGGGTGTTGCAAAGGTGTTGTGTGTGGCTGTGTGGCCATGTTTATGTGAGATGAATATCTATTTGTATATATCTATGTCTGTGTGTGACAGTGTCTATGAGTATGTATATCTGTGCATGTGTGTGTGTATGTATGTGCATGCCTCTGCGTTTCTGTGTATCTACGTGTCTGTGTGCAAGGAACTATCTATGGGGGCGTGCGTGTGTGTGTACATGTGTATGAGTGTGTTTATGGGTGTGTGTGTGTATGTGTGTGTGCGTGCTTGTCGTGTGTGTGTGTGTGTGTGTGTGTGTACATCCCTATGTCTCTGTGTGTGGTACATAGTAATCAGAGAAGAAGCTGGAGGCTGAGGGTGCAGGTTCCAACCAGGAGCTCCTTCAGGTCCTGGTGGGAGATGGTGAGGGCTGGACTCCTAGGGGTGGGTGGGGGGTGAGCAGGATAGGCCTGGGTCCCCGAGACCAAAGCAGCTTTCAGTTTGGGGCAGTCCCACACTGGCAGTGGGGGGCCTTCTGGGACTTATGGCTGGGGGTGTGGCCTAGAGCTTCCCAAAAGCAGGGAGAGACAGGCCTACTCAGTTCAGAGCCCAGGAGGACACGTGTCCAGAGCCTGCACCGGGCTGTTAGAAAGTGTTGGTAAGTCTATGGAAAGAATCGCCAAAAGCAAAAGTGCAAGTGGGGCCCGGTGGCCAGTGGGAGCCAATGCAGAGGGCATGTCCTCTCGGTATCTGAGGAAATGTTCGCTTTGGGGGAACAGGTGTGTGTGGATGTGAGTGAAGCTGGGTGTGTGCATTCACGGGGTTTAGGGTACCCATGCTTGGCTGCAAACCTGGAAACAGCCTGAAACCTCTGTTTACTCCCCAGGATAGAGCCCATCTACCCATATCCTTCCCATAACAAAATCCCTGGACAGCCACACATACCTGTCTGATACCGTTGCCTGGCAAGCTTCCTCTTCCCACACTCCAGCCCTCCCCCACCGCCCCTCTACAAAGCTAATGTCACTCCCTCTGACTCAGTTTCCAAGAGGCTGCATTCAGAGGCCCAGTATCAGCCTCTGGTTAGCAGAGGCCTGGAGGCCGTCCTGGGGCAGGTGTCAGGCAGCTGCTGGGCATCCCCAGGCCTGAGCGTGTGCAGCCTGCACAGGGGGAGCGTGCACCAGGCCCTGAGGTCCTTGCAGCACCTAGAGCCGGGTGAAGGAGGGGAAAGATGTGCAGGCAGAATGGCAGCACAGGTAGCAGCATGTGGGCCAGAGCCACACCCTGGGCAGGTCATCGGGCTGCTGGAAGCTCCTACTGGGAAGTCTGGGCCAGGGAGCTGACCCCAGGGCTTTCCGGTGGCCTTGGTTCAGTTAGCATGATTATTTTGAGAAACATCGTGCTCTTTTTCCAATTACTGCTAAATAAAATTCCATTTTATACAAATGCCACAATTTTTTATGAAGGTATAATTGACATATACACTGAGTGGCCAGATTATTATGATCTCTGAACGCATAATAACCTGGCCACACAATATATATATATATATATATATATATATATATATATATATATATATATATAAATATATATATATTAGAGACCTGGTGCATGAATTCGTGCATGGGTGGGGTCCGGCCAGCCTGGCCAGAGGGAGAAGAGTCATGGGCGGTTAGCCAGCCTGCCTGTTGGTTGAACTCCTAGTAGAGGGGACATTTTGCATATTAGTCTTTTATTATATAGGATATACACTGAATGGCCAGATTATTATGCGTTCAGAGATCATAATAATCTGGCCACTCGGTGTCTATTGTATTAGTTATAGGGGTACAACATGATGATTTGGTATATTGTATATTGTGAAATGATCTCCACAATAAGTGTAACTAACATCCATCTCCTCATACAGTTACTATTTTGTGTGTGTGGTGATAACACAAGATGTATTCTTAGCAACTTCCAGGTATACAATGCAGTCACCACCCTGTATATCCATCCGATCACAGGACTCATCGTAGGCCAGAGCTGCTCATTCACGCCCCTCTCACAGACATTTGGGAGCCGCCGGTTTGGGGCTGTTACGCATAGAGCGACCCTGACATTTGCTCCTGGTCTTTGTGTCAATGCGGGCTTCCCCCAGGGGAAATACCTGGGTGATGGCTGGGGCAGGCAGTACGAGTATGTGTTTGAGAAGCTGACAAACCACTTTCGAAGGGGCGCTCCCGTGTCCCTCCAGCCAGCAGCACGCAGGGTGCTCATGTCCCTACACTTCCCCACAACCAGTGCCCTTCAGCATCATTTCTTGTGTTCCTTGGCCCTTGGTGGGCTTTCTCTGAGGAAGCTCTCCTTCTTCCTTGGGTCCTCTGGGGACAAGCACTCCCTCCCCCAGCCCTGCCCCCTGCCCACCTCACGCCTCTCTCCGCAGCCACCCGGGAGTCGGCCTTCGTGCACGCCATCGCCTCCGCTGGAGTGGCCTTTGCAGTGACACGCTCCTGCGCCGAGGGCTCCGCTGCCATCTGCGGGTGCAGCAGCCGTCACCAGGGCTCGCCAGGCCACGGCTGGAAATGGGGTGGCTGCAGCGAGGACATCGAGTTCGGTGGGATGGTGTCTCGGGAGTTCGCGGACGCGAGAGAGAATAGGCCTGATGCCCGCTCTGCGATGAACCGCCACAACAATGAGGCTGGGCGCCAGGTAAGCCCACCGCCCTGTGTCCTAGCCGTGCATCGGGGGCCCTCCGACCACTGCCCTGGGCGTCCTCGGGGACTGGGCAGTGTCTTTGACCATGGCCCTGTGTGCCTGGGGGTGCACCAGGGCGCCCTCCGACCACTGCCCTGGGCGTCCTCGGGAACTGGGCAGTGTCTTCGACCATGGCCCTGTGTGCCTGAGGATGCACCAGGGCGCGCTCCGACCACTGTCCTGTGCACTGGGGAGGGGTGTCTGGCCATGGCCCTCTGTGCCCTGGGGATGTCCCAGGGGACCCTCAGAGCATACCCCTGGTCCCTTGAGAAGTGTGGCCTGGTCTGAAACACAGTCGTGTCCAATTGCTCCACGATTGTCTGGGTATTTCCACAGAATGGCAGGTCCGCTTGTGGAGTTGGGATCACAGGAAAGGAGGGATGGGATAAAGGCCTGCCTTGCAGAAGCTCCTACACAGCCAAAGAGATGCGGCTATAGCACAGCGTGGATGCTCTGTGTGAGGGAATGTACACACATAGGGTGAACTGGCTCAGAGGACGGTCCAGACCCAGGCTGCAGTCTCAAAAAAAAAAAAAAAAAAAAAAAGACTTCTGCTGTCAGACAGTGAGCAGAGAAATGCAGAGTGATGCAGTGATCTAGCTGGGAGGAGGCCAGGAGAGCCGCCGGGCAGCCCAGGGTGAGGCTGCACATGAGTTAGTCTGGGTAGAATATGGGAAACAGAAGGAAGAGGAGAATTTGGGAGATTGGGAGACTGACAGATCAAGCTTTGAGGGCTCTGTGAGCCCTGCTAAGAAGGACTGGGTCAGAAGTTCAGTGGGAAATTGACAGAGGACTGACTGCTGATAACAGGGACTGTGTAAGGACCTGCAGGTATCCAGTCGATTTAGCAACACAAAGATGGCGCTGGCTTTGCCCAGTGGAACCAGGGGATGGCAGAGGGCTGAAGAGTGAACGGGACACTCAACTTCCAACAACAGGGACTAGGTGAGTCAGTCTCATCTTCCTGCCGAAGACAGAATAAATGCAGGATGGAAGACAAAAGGCACCCTGCTAAAAGTAAAGAATACAGTCACGTGATTTATCTGAAGGGAGGTAAAGCAGTGCAGAGGGGAAATGGGCTTTTCAATAAATGTGCTCAGTCCATTGGATCACAATATGGAAAAAATAATCTTGACCCCTACCTCACACCATATATAAATTGTAATTACAAATCCAAGTGGGAAAGGTAAAACAAGCCCAAAAAAATGCTTAGAAGAAAACCTAAGGGAGACATCTTAGGCAGAAATTTCTTAAATAGGTCAAAGAAAAATATAAAACTGTGGACCGTATTTAAATTAAGAATGTCTATTCAGCTCTAGCCGGGTTTGCTCAGTGGATAGAGCATTGGCCTGCAGACTGAAGGGTCCCAGGTTCAATTCCAGCCAAGGGCACATACCTTGGTTGTAGGCTTCTCCCTGGCGTGTGCAGGAGGCAACCAATCAATGTGTCCCACATCGATATTTCTCTCTGTCTCTCCCTGTCTCTTCCACTCTCTCTAAAAATCCATGGAAAAATATTATCAGGTGAGGATTAAAACAAAAATGTTTAAAGAAACATCTATTCATAAAAGACACTATCATGAAACTAAAAACACAACCCACACAGGAGGAAATAATATCTCCAAAAATATATGAAAGCTGTAATATAAGAACTCTACAAATTAATTTTTTAAGAAGACAGATAACCCAATAAAAAAGTTGGCTAAAACAAAGTAAAGCCACTTCACAAAAGAAAATATAGGAATGGCCAATAAGTATGTGAAAAGGTGTTCAATACCACTAGTCATCAGGGAAATGCTGTCAGAATCAGTGCCCTGGAAAGGGGGAGGACAACCACTGGAAAAGAGCATGGTGGGAGTTTCTGAGGACCTGGTGATTTGTAAAATTGTGTCATGTTTTAGATTATAACATATATACATTTTTGTATAATGCACTTCCATAAAATGGTTTTTAAATGTCACATAACTAAACTAACCATAGAGAAGGATAACCTGTCACATGAGCTGATGACACAATGGATAAGTGGTAATCAGGAGGGGGGGGGGGGACAGAAACAGGACTCTAAATACTAGAATGATTAGACACAGATTATAAACAAATATGTTCATTGGACAGACACATGCAAAAAGATGAAATTAGACCACCAATTACACCATACACAATAATAAACTCAAGATGGATAAAGGACTTAAATGTAAGGCATAAAACTATAAAAATATTAGAGGAGAACATAGGCAGTAAAATCTCAGACATCTCATGTAGCAGTAAATTTACAGATACATCTCCTAGGGCCGTGGTCGGCAAATTGCGGCTCACGAGCCACATGTGGCTCCTTGGCCACTTAAGTGTGGCTCTTCCACAAAATACCACACCCTAGGTGAGTCAGTTTTGAAGATGTGGCATTGGAAAAAATTTAAGTTTAAAAAATTTGGCTCTCAAAAGAAATTTCAATCATTGTACTGTTGATATTTGGCTCGATTGACTAATGAGTTTGCTGACCACTGTCCTAGGGCAAAGGAAACTGAGGAGAAAATAAACAAATGGGACTACATCAAAATAAATTTTAAAAACTTCTGCACAGCAAAAGAAACCACCAAAATGAAAAGGATGTTCACTGTATGGGAGAACATATTTGCCAATGATACATCTGATAAAGGGTTAATATCCAAAATATATAAAGTACTCATACAACTCAACAAAAGGAAGACAAACAACCCATTTAAAAAATGGACAGAGGACCTGAATAAACATTTCTCCAAAGTGAACATACAAATGGCCAAGAGACACATGAAAAAATTCTCAAAGTCAGTAATGGTCAGAGAAATGCAAATTAAAACCACAATGAGCTATCATCTAACATCTGTCAGAATGGCTATCATAAAAAAAAAAAATCAACAAATGACAAATGCTGGCAGAAATGTGGAGAAAAAGGAACCCTAGTACACTGCTGGTGGGAATGCAGACTGGTGCAACCATTATCGAAAAAAGTATGGAGTTTCCTCAAAAAATATGAAACTGCCATTTGACCCAGCAATCCTACTCCTGGGAATATATCCTAAAAACCCAAAAACTCCAATCAGAAAGACCATATGCACCCCTATGTTCATAGCAGCATTATTTACAATAGCTAAGATTTTTAAACAGCCCAAGTGCCCATCAATAAATGAATGGATAAAAAAGCTGTGGGACATATACACAGTGGAATACAATGCAGCTATAAAAAAGATGTATCTCTTACCCTTTGGGACAGCATGGATGACCTGGAAAATACTTTGCTAAGTGAAAAAAGCCAAACTGAGAAAGACAAATATCACATGATCTCACTTATTTTTGGAATTGAATGAGTAGAATGAATTGACCAACAAAATAAGACCTGAAGCAGAGAGGCATGGAACAGACTGACTGACAAACATCAATGTGGGGTTGGGAAAATGAGAAGAGATAAGCTAAAGAGTTTATATCCTTACTAGGGGCCCAGTGCACTAATCTGTGCACCTTGAAAGGAACTGTGGGCCACAAGGCTGTGATGGGCACAGGGGCGGATTTCAGCCCATCCTCTATGCCACCACCTGGTCCCTCCCACTGGGGTCCTGGTTCCCTGTCTGCTAGCAACCCTGCTCATGCCACTGCTCACGCACACTGATGGTGCTGGCTCCACTGCATTGCTGACAGCACAGACGACTGGGGCCAGCACCAGCAGCAGGTGCCAGAGGGGCTGACGCTATCAATGGGTACAAGTGGTGACTACTGCCCTGATTGCCTCTCAGGAGCAAGGGGCGGGGGGGTGAGTGGAGAAGCCCTCAGGGGTGATCAGGACCAGTGCCAGGCACCAGCAATGAGTATGAGTGGCAGTTCTGGCTTCAGCTGCAGGTGTAAGGGGCGGCTGCCAGCTCCAATCACCCCTCAGGAGCAGAGGGAGGTGGAGAAACCCTGAGGGGCAATCGAGGCCAGCAGCCAATGTTTGCACCTACTGACGGTGCCGAGTGATTGAGGCTGGTGCTGGGTGCCAGCAGTGGGTGCGAGCAGGGCTGACACCAGCAGCAGGTGCAAGCACCAGGCAGGACCACAGGAGCAAAGAATTTTCAGTAACCACCAAAGGCTCACCCCAATGGCAACAACTGGCACCTGCCTTGGTCTGGTGCCCCTACTCACCTGCTTCACCATTCCACCACAGCCAACGCCTGCCATGTTCCATGCACACCCCTGGTGGTCAGCGCATGCCATAGCGACTGGTTGTTTGGTTGTCCTACCATTCAGTCTATTCGCATGTTAGGGTTTTATATAAATAGATAGGCATAGCCCATGGACACAAGCAATTATGTAGGGCAGACATGGAGAAATAGGGACTGGCAGGATGGAAGTAAAGTGGGGGAGAGTAGAGATATCTGTGATACTATCTACAATAAAAACTTTATTTTTTTAAAAAAAAAAAAAGAAAACAAAAATTTACCCTTTCAGAAATAGCATAGGAATATACTAAGAGACTTGGTTTTGGGAGGAAACCTGATGTGGATTCAAATATCGACCCTTCATTTAATAGTTATCACTTTGGGAAAGTTACTTGACCTTTTCCAAGCCTCCGTTTTCTCATCAATAATATAAGATTAATAATTATTAAAAAATGCTCACATTCATACAGCTAAAATGCAAGGTTGAACATTTCAGCAGGGAACTGGAAACTATAAAAATAATAGAGTAGATTTAGGAAAGAATCACATAAAAATTGTAGAAGTGAAGAATGAATGAGGGTTTCCAGTTAAAGACAACAAAGCCAACACAGTATTTCCCTCTGCAACCTCCTAATCACCCACTAAAATGACAATGAATAAATTTTAACACAAATAAGGCTCCTGAGAACATGAAAAACAGAAGAAGTAACAATGGCCACGAAAGTTTGAAAGCTAGAAAGCAGTTACATGAATATCCAGTGTCTTAGTAGGCCCAAGAAAGCAGAGTCTTAAGGCAGCAGACCGAAATCTGAGCAACTCAGAAATTACTAGCATCGGGTGTCTTGAGAAACAGAAGGAAATATGGGGCTGTAAACAGGAAGACTGGTTGGAAGTCTATGTTAAAAGCACTGTTTAACCCACCAGCTCTTCTGTCCAACTCTTGCACCCAGGCAACACTCCTCCTTTACCAGAAAGCTGCAAACTTCCTTTCTAAAAAGGGTAAAGCAGGGGTTGTCTGGCCTGTGGGACACAAGCACAGCTAAGGGCAAGGCCACCCAAGTGAAAAAAGTATATCTAAGTGTGCATTTTTCTTCCTAATCTCCTAATGCTGCACGGATGCCGGGTCACCCACAGGCAGGAGAGTGGAAAGTTCTGCCCTAGAAATCAGAGGGACCCAGGAGAAGAGACTTAATGTCTCCAATGAAACAGTGTGGCCAAGTCACTCTGGGGCTAGGGCTCAAGTTGGCAAGTCCCTCCCAGGCACAGGAGCTTCCAACAAGATTTTCAGTGGCCTGGTTTTATTTTATTTTATTTTATTTTATTTTATTTTATTTTATTTTATTTTATTTTTTGCCTTTTACACTCTTTTTAAAAATATATTTTTATTGATTTCAGAAAGGAAGGGAGAAGGAGAGAGAGACAGAAACATCAATGATGACAGAGAATCACTGTTGGCCGCCTCCTGTAGGCCCCCTACTGGGAATTTAGCCAGTAACTTGGGTGTGTGCCCTTGATCCAAATTGAACTTGGGACCCTTCGGTCTGCAGGCTGACGTTCTGTCCACTGAGCCAAACGGGCGAGGGCTAGTGGCCTGCTTTTAAATATAAACAGACAACCAAGGCCGCCTCCAGCAATCACAAAGGTAAAGATCAAAACAAAGAAAAAAGATGCAAACTTATGGAAAAGAGATGTTGTAAAGAGAGAAGAAAACTTCAAAAACTAGGGAGTTGAGAAAACATACTGTACCCATGAACTTGGAATAGGATGTTAATTTAAGAGAACATTGGGGATGGGGAAGAGGCCTTAGTAATTAAAAATAGGGCAGCAGAAAAAAAAAACCTCTCAGCAGAAAGGCTGGTAGATAGTTAAGACACTTGTCAACAAAGCAGAAGGGAAAAGACAGAGATGGAGACTAGGGAAGAACAGAAAATATGGAGGCTCTGTCCATGAGAGACAGTGATAAACATGAAGAGGAGGAAGTTGGCACAGAAATAAGGCAGGAAAGTTCCTGGACTGGAGATCACGGGTTTCAGACCACACAGGCCCACACAGGAAGTGACTGAAATAAGAAAGGGAGCCCCACACCAAGCTGGCAGCACAGACATGGCCCCCAAGCCGCCCAGGAAAAGATGAAGTTCACATCAAGTATCAGAGTCAGGATGGCATCAGAGTTTCCAAGAAAATATAAACGACAGAATAAAATGGGGCAGCACTCTCAGAATTCGGGGGGGGGGGGGGGGGGAAGGGGGTAGGGATGGGGGAGCTTTTAGCCAAGAAATTTTCTTAAGCCATTTTTCAACTTTCAAGTAGAAAAGATTTGTTTCCAGACAAGCACATTTCCTAAAATGGACCAGAAGACCTCTCAACAAGATGTCTCCAAGATGAGATGGATAGGACACTTGGTGTGTTTAAGTGTCTTGAAGAAGATACTTAGACAATTAAGGGAGAGCTTGAGGCTGAATCCATGATACATATATTCAAAAAGTAACAACAAAACATCTTGTAGAAAAGGATAAGTAATGGAAACGTACCACATGGCTCAATTGAACTGACATTTAACAATCCCAATACCAATAGCACTAAATATTGATCCAGCTAGAAATATGCTCTAGTTCTTAAGGTAGGAAGACGTTGGAAATGTCAGGGGCAGGGATGAGAGATCCAGAGACAATGCCAAACACAAGGTTTGTGAGAGGCACACAGCACTACGTTAGATGGTCAGGAAAGTGCTGAGGGAGAGTGGGCGCAGAACTGCTTTGTGTGTTTTTTTTATTTGAGAGAGAGAGAGAGAGAGAGAGAGAGAGAGAGAGAGAGATTGATTTGTTGTTCCACTTATTTATGGAATATGGGTCAATTCTTATACACTGAGTGGCCAGATTATTATGACCTCTGAACACATAATCTGGCCACTCAGTGTATATCCTATATAATAAAAAACTAATATACAAATTGCCCCCTTAACTAGTTCAACCAGCAGGCAGGCCAGCCAACCACCATGTCTCCTCCCCCTGGCCAGGCTAGCCGGACCCCACCCATGCATGAATTCATGTACCGGGCTACACACACACACACACACACACACACACACACACACACACACACTGAGTGGCCAGATTATTATGCGTTCAGAGATCATTATAACCTGGCCACTCAGTGTATGTGCCCTGACAGGGGATCAAACCCAAAACTTTGGCCTATGGGGATGATGCTTTAATCAACTAAGCTACCTGGCCATGGTTCCTATATTTCTTAGCACATTTTGGGAATTATTGGGCTTTTTAAAGCAGCAGTCACCAACAGGTGGTCTACGGACCACTGGTGATACATGTGGGCCGAAAGGTTGGCGACCGCTGCTTTAAAGCACAAACATCTATAACTTTGATAAAGTCAAACTAAAACAAGAGACTGAGGGTGCAGAGGAGAAAGCATCTGCTCCTGTTTGGAAAAGCTTGGCCACGAAAGGAAAGAGGGTGGAGATTGGACAGAAATGAACTGGTATGGGGGCAACTAACAAGTGCCCAGAAAAAGTGCCGGTATGCGAGGAAGAGCTGAAACAGAAGGGAGATGGGGATGGGACAGGGAAGGATCTGGATGCAGAGCCCAGCATCATCCAGTGGGAGGGCCATAGGTACCACATTTTCTAGTAGCCACATATCAAAAGAAAACAGCGACACTAATTTTAATACTAAATTTTATTCAACCCACTATACCCAGCATGCTGCCATTTCAGTAATGCAATCAATACTAAAATCATGCATGAGATCTTTTACATTCTCTTCTTGTACAAAGTCTGAGGACTGACAGTGTACGGTCTGCACACCCAGCACTTCTCCGTTTGGACCAGCCTCGCCTCCCGGGCTCTTGGGAGGTGGTGACCACCACAGTGGGCAAGGCAACCTTAGGTCTGATGAAGTCACCCACCTTCACCTCTTTCCCAAAGAGAACCTGGGGGTCCCACAGGAAGTAACACACACACCACTTGGCCAGGCCCTGTAGGTTGTCCACCCCTAGGCCTCCACAACTTGGTGCCCTGCACTGCCTCGCTCCTCCTCTTCCCAACCCCCTACAGTCCAAGATCCCAGCTTCCTGGGGCCTGAAGATGCCCAATGCAAGCCACACTCAGGTAGCTCTCAGTCTTGCCACCAGCCGCCCTATACCTCCGGGGCCTCGATCCTGGGTTCTCCAGGTTAGAATTAACACCTTCCTTCTTCCTGTCTGCACTTACATTACCTCCTTACAGCCCCGGCCTTCCTTCACTCTGTCACAGATGCCCAAGACTTAGAGCCAGCCTAGGAGAGAGCTCCATGGCCCTGGCCTCCTACTCTACCCACTTCCACCCCGCGCACCGCGGGATCTTGGGGTCGGCCACGGGAGCACATAGGAGGGAATGGCACTGCAGGTCCCTGGAGCGGGCACGGTTGCTTGGTGGAGCAGGCAGGGGGGCTGGGTTTGCCCGAGGAGCCCGGGGCGGGGGCGGCAGGCCAGGAGCAGGGTCCTGGGAAACGGCACCCGGCACCGCGCAGTGCGAGGGCCCTGACGCCCCGCCCGCGCTCCCACAGGCCATCGCGAGCCACATGCACCTCAAGTGCAAGTGCCACGGGCTGTCGGGCAGCTGCGAGGTGAAGACCTGCTGGTGGTCGCAGCCCGACTTCCGCGCCATCGGCGACTTCCTGAAGGACAAGTACGACAGCGCCTCGGAGATGGTGGTGGAGAAGCACCGCGAGTCGCGCGGCTGGGTGGAGACGCTGCGGCCGCGCTACACCTACTTCAAGGCGCCCACGGAGCGCGACCTGGTCTACTACGAGGCCTCGCCCAACTTCTGCGAGCCCAACCGCGAGACCGGCTCCTTCGGCACGCGCGACCGCGCCTGCAACGTGAGCTCGCCGGGCATCGACGGCTGCGACCTGCTGTGCTGCGGCCGCGGCCACAACGCGCGCGCCGAGCGGCGCCGGGAGAAGTGCCGCTGCGTCTTCCACTGGTGCTGCTACGTGAGCTGCCAGGAGTGCGCGCGCGTCTACGACGTGCACACCTGCAAGTAGGCGGGCCCGCCGCCGGCCTCCCGACGGGGCTCCTCCCGGATGGGGCGGGGCTCGGGCTGAGGCTTTCGGAGGAGGGCGGGGTCCCATCTAGCGGGGAATCCCGCCCTGCCACCTCCTCCTGGCAGCCCCCTGGTAAGCTTCCATCCGACCCCACTCTTCTATGTAGAGCAGCTCTCCTAACAAACAGCGGTCGAGACCCCTGTCTCCCAGCCTCTTCCTCTGAAGGCTGGGGACCAGGGGCCTCCCAGGTCCGGTGCTCTGGAAAGGCCTGACATCTGCCCGCGCTCCCAACCAATCCCACGGAGAGAGCCCACGCCTTGCAGAGCCCCAAGAGCCGGCTGGACCTGGGGGAAGGAGGGGCTTGGCGGCAGAGGCGAGCAGGAGGCTGGGCCCCGAAACCTGGCTCTGCCCGGGCTGTCGTGTGTGAGGCTATCAGACATCAGGCGCTCTTCCCCGGACTGTTACTGCTGCTGCCCAAGCCCTGGCTGGGACAGCCCACTGTGAGGCCCTTCCACCTCCCTTCTCAGGTCTTCCACCTGCACTCCATCCACAGGAGAGGAGCACAGCCTTCTGTCCCAGCCCTACCCAGCCTCCCTCTGGGCCTCAGCACCTCCCCCGCCTTCCTCATCATCTGCCCAGGACTGCTGGCCTGCACCCCCCCAAACCCCTGCTCCCCCCGCCCCCCCCCCAGCTCCATCATCCTGCCTTGGAAGCTCACTCGGGGTAGGGTTGGGTTGTTTGGGAGGTTTTCGTAGGAGGAGTCACACCTGGGGGCTGCAGAGGACCCTCAGCCCCCAGAGGAGTGGTGTCCCCTGGCAGCCCCGGTAGTTAGGACTGACCCGTAGGGCTCCTGCTGCAGCTATGGTGTGCCAGGCTGGCCACATTGGCCACTGTCCTGGAGCACCTTCTGACTAATCCACCCAGCCCAGGAAGTACTGGCTTCTGGACCCCTCAGCCAATGCCCAGGCCAGGCCTCTTCTCACTCAGACTCTGCCACTGTGAACTCCCCCAGTCCCCAGGCAGGGGGTGGAGGCCAGCCAGAGACGGATGGCTGCATGCCTCCGAGGACAAGACCTTCCTCTGCCTTGAATTTTGTGTTTTTGGTTTTAATTTTATTTCTGATGCTGCTATATTCACCATACACTGGAGCTGATCAAACAGATGTGTTGTTGTTTTTTCCCTTTTCTTTCTATGAAAGAAATATTTGAGTCATAGCTTGTGAGTTTCAAACAATGGGGAAGTAAAAGACAAAAAAAAAAAAAACCCACAAAAAGCAGAAACAACCAAACGCTGTGGATTGTGCTGGATTTCTGGTGGTTGGATCGGTGGTGACCTCTGGGACAGAAGACCCCCATGGGCCGGGGAGGAGGCAGTCAGCGTGCACCTCGGAGACGCCTGGGGTCTTGGAGCTGGCACCCAGAGGCCAGAATTCCAGAGGAAAGAGGGACCGTCATGCCAAGGAAAAGAGGGCACACAGCCAGTGGTGCTGAGGTCTGGGGCAGGCGAACTAGACCCAGCAGAAGGCTCCGGTGAGGTGCAGGGAGGAGGCGGAAGCCTGCCTGCTGCAGGGGTGGTGCAATGCAGGGAGCAGGTTGGAGGCCCCACGAAAGTCAGTGTAGCAGTGGGACATCCAAAAGCCACTTCCCCAAATGCCATGACGCTCGGCTGACGTTGCAGTGCAGGCTTTGTGGCTGCGCCCGCTGGGTTTGGGGACATGGCCTCTGTGCGGGGTCCCCAATGTGGCCCACCAAGGGTGTTACAGGAGCCCAGCCTGTCTGGGAGGGCAGAGACAGTCCTTCCACCAGAGGTTTGCCCAGCTGAGGCCTGGCAGTGGCCTGGTCCACCCTCACCAGGCCTATGCAGAGCAGCCCTGGGTGGGGCCTCTGGAAACTGGAAGGGGGTAGGGGGCTCCCCCAGGGCCACACCTTCGCTTCTCCAAGCTGGGTGCAGGGCACCTGACCTTTCTCTGCCCTTCTGAGCCCACCCCCTCACCACCACCACCAGCGCCTCTTGAGCCAGACTCCAAGGGAGAGAGGGAGCTGAGGAGGGTGGGGGTGGACAGGCTGGGACAGGTGAAGGGTGAGGAGCATAAAAGAAAGCTGAGGGCAGGAGGCCCAGCCCCCACCCTCTCCAAGCTCAGGCCCTATGTAGGCCATTTGCTGGAAGGAAGGAAGGTGGGAGGGGGAGGGGGGGGGGAGGAGAAGACCTCACAAGGAATCCCCGGCCAGCTGATGGTGGAGAGAGGGAGCTGACGCAGCTGTTTGTGAGGTTAGGAGGAAGGGAGGAGGAGGGAGGGGTCTGCATGGCTTTGGGGAGCAGGGCCTGCCCCTGCTGCTCACCACCACTCCAGTTTTTCCCAGACCATGGGGTGGGCGGGCCTCTACCCTGGAGACATGCACCCCTACTGACTCCACTCATCCTTTCAGCTTTGCCACCCTCTGCCTCTGCTTCCCACCAGCCCTTGGGTACAGACTCTAACCTGGCCCCTACCTGGCCCCAGGTCAGCTCTATGCCCAACACACTCTCCAATAGAGCCCACTTGGGCACAGCTCCTGCCACTAGAACATCAGGCCCCCTCTCTCCACCATCAGCTGGCAGGGGATTCCTTGTGAGCTCTCCAGCCCCCCACCTTACACCATGGGCCCAGGAAGTAAGAGCGCAACTCCTGTCTCTGGAGGGGGTCCTAGACAGGAATGTGCAGAAACCGGGCAGGGGGTCCAGGACGGGTGTGCAGAGACGGGGCACCGGCGTGGATACCCACTCACAGCCAAGCCCTGAGCTGGAAGAAAGCTGTGGGAGGGTATGGGAGGTGCCTGGTGGATGGAGTAGGCGCCTATCAGAGTGAGGGAGGCAAGAGGAAGCCAGATTGTGGGAGGTCATGGCTTTTAAGGTCAAGACAGGACCTGGAAAGTTCCCTCCTCCAACTTGCACCCTCTCCCCAATTTCTGATGCCCACAGGGTCCTTGCTGGAGGTTCCAACTCAGCCAGTAGGGCAAAAATATGGGAGAAAGACGCAGGTCTCCAGGCTCCCACCATCCCTCCCTGCCCCTCATGGGCTGGCACCCCCATGTCCTACCCCAAGCCCATGGCCTCAGTGGCTTGGGGCTGCTGCTCCCCCAATAGGCCTACCCCAGGCTTGGTCACCCACTGCTCTGGGGCCACAGCTGACCACCAAAGATTCCCAAAACTGGGACTCTAAGAGGTCAGCCAGGGCCAGATGGGCTGCGAGCAAATGCTCTATAAAAAGAGAACCGGTGATTAAGTGCCCAGGGCAGGGGGCAGGAGCACCGACAGCAATCTCTCCCTCCGGGTGAGTCATAGCGAGGGGAACCAGGCTCTCTCAGCCCACCAGGCCATCCTGGGTAACAGCTGATTAGACACCGCGCAGGGGTCAGGCCCTGTAGGTGGGGGTGGCAGGTGCTCGGAGAACCCAGCGTGGGTGTGCCCACAGTGCAGACTGCACAGACGTGCAGCACCTGAGTCAGGGGCTGGGCAGGAGCCATCCTAATTGGCACCTGCTGTGAACTAGGGGCCAGGGGCTCCACAGATGAAAGGGCCAGAGAGACGGCCTAGGCCTGGGCGGGGCTGGCCTGCGAAAAGAGACAAGATGGGACCATCCTGGGAGGTCAGTGCAGAGGTGGGTTCTGTCTGTCTACACCTCTGAGTCACAGGACTGCCAGGCCCCAACATCCGGGCTCTGTCTGGCCAGGGACCACTGTGACAAGAGGGCCTGTTTGCAGGTGGGCCCAGAGAGGGGGTGGCACTGGCCCGAGGACACAGCATGTCAGGGACCCATTCTGGTCTCTGGGTGCTGGATCTTGAGGCCCCGTTTCTGTCTGGGTAACAGTACCGAGGTGGAGATGGTCTCAGCTCTCCAGAGGGGAGGCACCAGGACAGTGCTGACCTAGGAGGCATGCCCACCACCCCTGCCAGCATGGCTCCAGGGTGGAGAGAGGCAGAACTCCCCAGAAAAGGCCCGGGATGGGGCACCCAGGCCCGTGGAGCCACGGGATAGGCCCCAAGGGGTATGGGAAGTGCCTGCGTAAGAGAAGAAGAGAAACCCTCAACTCTCCCGGCCTCAGTCTCCCTCCAGCGCTAGAGGAAGTGGGGTGAGGGGGTGTTTCCCAGGGCCTTTTGTTGATGTGGAATGCTCTATCTGGAGCCACTGCTAGAGCCTAGCTGGCTACCCTCTCACCTGCCAGGATCGGTCTGCATGTCCGCATGAACCCCTTGCCCAGCCCCCAGCCCTCCCCTCAACCCCCACTCAAAGGGAGGGCAGAGCTGGGCAGCCTGGGGCCTCTGAAGATACTTCTCCGGGAGTTTATAGCCCGTCCTGGCCGCCTGGGAGGGAGGAAATGGGCCTGGTGGGCCTGTTCGCAGGTAGTTGAGACAGGAGAGGAATAACCATATTAAAGGCCCCGGAGGTGGTAGGCCCCCACCCTGCCCCAGGGCGCCCTTGGCCCCGCCCCTGCAAATCTCACACTCCCCAAGCGAGGGCTTTGAAGTCCTGGGGGATGTGGCCCTCCTCCTCAGGCCTCCACTTTCTTGGTCTGGAGCCTCAGTTTCCTCCCTTCAGGGACGTGCTGAGCACCTCCCACCTTCTCCCAGGGCTGGGAACCTTCGGCTGCAGGACCCTTTCTTCCCCTCCCCCCCAACCCCAGCCCTCCCCCAGTCTCTACCCCAACTGTTGAAGTCCCCTGCCTCCCAAAGCAGAGCCTGGCGGGTGGGTACATGTCAATACCCTGCTGGACTGAACTTTGCCCCTAGGGCCCTGAGGTCTGGTTTGGGGGACTGACCTTTGTCCTTACCTTGGGCTCTGGTCTGAGAAACACGGCCCATCCTGGGTACCTGGCCAATGACCTGGGGTGGCCATACTCCCTGGGTTCTCCCCTCCAGTGGACTCCCTGGCCCTGACCCAGAGCCTGTCTGCCATCCATTTCCTTGTTATAACCCCTTTTCCACTATGAAACCCTCTGACTGAGATGCCTAAAGGCAGGGCATTCTGAGGTCTTGACCTGGCAATCAGCAGCTTCCTCTCCAGCAGCCCCTTGGCCTCCAGGTCTGAGCAGAAACTAGACACCTGACCCGCCCACGCTGCCCTCCGGCCTTGCATAGTTCAGTGCAGCCTGGAGTCCAGCCTCAGTCCGGGTGATGCACGGCCTCCTAGAGCGACATCCAAGGCGACATCCAAGGCTCTCAGGGGAACAGGATGGCATCCCTCCCACACACTGGTTGGGGGCACTGCCAGCCTTCCTGTTCATAGCTATCAGCCAGTATACTGACGCCTGCTGGGTAAGGCTACTCTCTGGGGTATGAGTTCATGAAGGCGAGGCCACCCCCATTTCCACCCTTCCTATTCCATCATAAAGTGGGACAACAAAGAGCAGCTAACAGATGACACCCCCACCCATCCCACCCCTCATTCCACCAACTGACCTTAATCCTAGGGAGTTGGACAATGGCTCCTTTGCCACCTACTGGGTCAGGGGTTGCAGGGGGAGGTGAGCATGGGCCATTGTTTCTCTGGCTCCAACATCCTCAATCCAGGCCCCTGGGTCTCCTATACTTTTGAGGACCAGGCAGGGTGCCCAGGGCATGATGGTAGCCCCAGGGAGGGGCTGCAACCTGGGAGCCCCCATTGCCCAGCCTGGCAACTGGGACAGTAACTAGTGAGAAGGTGTTAATTAATATTTAGCTACAGGCGGGCTCCTCGTTCATCTCTCTTTCTCTCTCTCTCTCTCTTTTTTTTTTTTTTTTTTATTTGAGTCCTTGGAGCGCACAGTAAACAGTCATTTGGCTCTTGGGCCCTGCAAATTGGTGTTTATGGTGTGAGGACCAAGACTCGTCCACCCAAGCATGGCTGGCTGGGAGGGCAGCACCCTCCCACTCATGAAGGCCCAGTTCTGTAGGGGAGCCTCCGCCACTCTGAAGGAGGAGGGAATCGACCTACTCCCTGCAGCCCAGTCTGAGGTGAGGGCCCAGCTGGAATGGCATTGGCCAGAATCCTGCTGGTCGGATGCTTGTGTGGCCGGAGGTGGCACTGCAGCTAATCCAGAGGGCTTCTCGGAAGAGGTGAGGCTTCCGAGGCAGGGAGGCCTCTCCAGAGGGAGCTCAGAAAGCTCACCAGAGCCCTTGCCTTCCTCTCAGGGGGGTTCTGCATCCAACCACAGCTCCTATCACCTCCCTCAACAGGCCCCCAGTCCTCTCCCCACACAGCAGCCATCGGCAGAACTGAAGACAGGAATACAGGAGGGTGATGGTGGAATTCCAGGCACAGGCAGACAGCAG